TAACTACCCTGCGCGGCTGCGCGCAGACTATATAACGACATATATATGTCATCCGTCCAGTCCGTCCGTCATTCATCCGTCCGTCCGTATCCGTGTTTTATCCTAACCCGTTTTTAAAACACAAAGTTTGCATTTAATTAAGGCAGTGCGGTTCGTCATGATCAATATTTTCAAAAGCGGCCAATTAGACCAGGGGTTAAAGGGCAATGACAATGACATGCAGGTGACATTTAACATTGCGTCTCACTAATTAAAATTTGCGTGTTTAGTAGTGTTTATCAAGGAAAGCAAAACTATACAAGACAATCTCACATGTGGAGTTTTTTCACTTACAGTATGTACTGCCTTGTGATGCAGTACAAGTATAAATACAAATGACAAAGCATTTGTAAATCCTAAAACATAATTAAATCATACGGCACATTTAAGATTTTTTAAAATATCGTATTTCAGCCGTGTTTACACTGTTTGGCGCATTCGCTGCGTTATATTCATTTACATGTATATACACAGAAAAGCATCTCATTGTCCTTGCAGACCATAGGCAAAAAGCATTTGTCAACCATGCACATACCAAATTTAAGCAATCGTTAAATCATATACATGTCATGGAAAGAATATGGAAATAATGTTGAATGAAAGCTAGCATCGCGCGAACCACTGCGTATAATTACAAAAGCATCGCGTATATAAATGGTGAAAGCACCGCGTATAATACTGGAACCACCGCGTATAATGGCGAAAGCACCGTGTATAATGCCAAAAGCACCGCCGTATAATGCTAAAAGCACTCAACAAAATGCCGTTTGATCACTTTAAGCCAGCTATGTCTTACCATAAAAGAAGACCTAAGATGAAACATGATCACATTGCCTGTTTGCCTTATGCCTGACCGCGCTGCACCACGGTTAAAATTCACTGGTACCGTCATGCAATGCGCCAAATAGAAAATTTTGATTTCGACCCACAAAACAAAATTAGGATCTGCTGCCTTGCTCGCTCGCTTCAGGCTCGCTCGCTGCGGCAGCAATCACAATCAAAGCAATGAAATATCATATTACATCATGAATGTCAGCAGGAAAAAGCGACTTGCAAACGTGTTACCGCTATTATATTTGACAATCGCAATCACAATCAAAGCAATGAAATATTATATTACATGTAAGTGCCAACAAAAAATGGCGACAATGCATACCGAAACTCTTTAATTTAGCGCAATCATGGCTATTACACATTCGCTTTAGTTTATATCCTGCGTGAAGTTTACATTAAATGCCCGTTTAAAAGTATTAAACTGGGTTTTTTCACGACTTCGTGTCCTGCAATTTTGGTGTGACGTCAAACTTTCGATTAAGCTTCATTTTCTTTTATTGCATAAATTGTAAATTGACTAAAATTTTTATTTAAATTTTTATAAAATTGTTATCGGATTCCCCGATTCCCGGATTCCCCGATTCCCCGTTCCCTGTTTTAAAGATAGCCCATTTTCGCAGTGGGTTTTTCCCCCGTAAAAATAACGAAATATAATCATCAAACCTTGTAATATTAACGAATAAATACACACAAATTACATATTGTTTAAAACACATTGTACATTTTCCTTGCTCGTATGGTAAATCACTTCAATTCATTGGCTATATTGAGTATTGTTTCAAAATATCATTTAACGTTTAATTCAAATTTTCAACATCCTAAGGCCAAATAAAAAAAAAATACTTGGTTAGCGTCACCGCCCGCCTGTCGATTTCTGCCGCCTTTGAATTTTTAAATTTTTTATATAAATCTCTTCGTTTTACAGTTTACAACAGTCTAATATTTGAAAATTTTCTCATACTCAAACCTTCGCACTGTACGCCCTCCCGCCTCTGAAAATTTGTGAGAGTGTGACGCTAACCAAGTATCTTTTTTATTTGGCCTAATTCAAGACAAATTTGTGTGAGGTACAAACCAACCTGCATCAAACAGGACGGAGAATATATAAATATACATAAAATTCACACGATCAAGGAAACTAAATATTTCGCTAAACTAATGCCTTGGCCCAACATAGGGGCATTGTTGCGGAAATATTCGTGATTTTCAATGTTTGCTCAAATGTTTCCTGTCTTCCATATCTGGAAACATTTAACAGTTATTCTACGAACTCGAGTCGTATATACCTTGGGTAAAATTCGTAAGTGTATTAATTGATCAAGAGTTGATATGGAAGAACCACATCAACTCCGTTCTGAAAAACATAATTAAATCTGCGGGTCTGATTGCTAAACTAAGACATTTTACGAACAAAATCACTTCGAAATTGATTTATTATGCATTGGTCTATCCATACCTCACGTACGGAAATCTAGTTTGGGGAAGTACATACCCGACAAGGTTACAAAAGTTACTAAATGTGCAAAAGAAAATTGTACGACTAATCTGTTTTAAATCTTATATGGATCATTCTGAACCAATATTTTTACAATTGAAAATCTTGGATATCCCCAGTACAAAATTAATGATTATCTATGCAGCTTATTTATGTATCGCTTCAATTATTGTCAAAATTTGCCAGACTTTTATGATGATTACTTCAAACAAAATAACGAACTATACAACTATAATACCCGAAATTCTACCAAGTTACATGTAAGCTATAAGAGAACAAACTATCGCAAATACACTGTATTTAAACCATCGCACGTCAAGAATGGTATGCTGCCTCGCTGCGCTCGGCAGCAATTAACCTCCATGTGGGCATGCGTCATTGTGATAAAACGTTTTAGTATTTTTGCACAAGTAAACATAATAAACCTTACAACCTGATTAGTCAAATTTGACGTCTTAAGCCGTTATATTCACCTACAGTGCAGGTGAATATAACAAAACTGAAATTTTCAAAATGGCGGCTAGCCGTTTTGTGGACTTTACTGATAAAGAAATAAGCGAAATTAAAATAAATTCAGTACCAAATAACACAAAAGACTTGTGTAAAAATACTAAAACAATTATTTTCCTATAATCCCCGATATCGCCTATATTCCCCGATAATCACCTCGCCTTCGGCGAATAATTGTTAAATGATAATAAGAAAAAGTGGAGACATGATTCGTCATCAAGTGCGCATTCTATATCTATTATTTCTATGGTTAAACCGCACAGGAACAAATCTAGCAATAATATAAACTTTATCTCAAAACACTGACCATGTCAACTTAAGCTGCTTTCCGCAAGGGGGGGGGGGGGTGCAAAAAAGAATAAATCAAAGGCCGTTGAGGCCGATCAAATGAAGGTGACGGAAAAAATTAGAGCAGTTTGCAGTTGTTTTTGGAAACCGGGCACCGTGCGAATTTTGCCATTTCACCCATTTTCCGTGCTTCATTTGCCAAATAAAAACAACGAACACGTGCTCCAGCCCGATTTCCGGTTCTGAAAGGCCCGATTTGCAGGCAAACAGTGCTCGCAAAGCAGACTGGTTATTTCCCATTAATTGTTTAACTGCCCTACACTCACCTCACACTCATGTAACCACAACGACTCCCAGATATTGCTTAGCAACATCCGTGAGTCAAAAACCAGCAGAAGTAAGCCATTTACAGAGATTTAGAAAAGAACTAAGCTACATTGTATATTGGTCTATTTACAACATACGTTATTTTATTGTTACGTTATTTTATTGTAAAGGTGTAAGTGGCAATTTTATTTTTTAAAACAACAGAGAGACTTGTTCTCCTTATTTCCTTTGGGTGGTGAGTTCCAATGTTAGTAGTAATATAGGTACCGTTCGGGCCCCTTTTTTGCGGTGGAGTGTGGTGGAGTTTGAGGTGGTGGAGGGAGGTGGTGGAGTTTGAGGTGGTGGGTGTCCACCACCTCTTTTATAATTAATATTCGTACAAATGAGGGTGCGTGGTGACGTCACTTATTAGTATACAATACGTTATAGTTATATACAATGACGTCACGCGGGCCTGTTTGGACGGGGATAAAACTTGCTGACTAAGCATTTTTTTACGTGGCTCCACGTGTGTGATACAATAGAGGGATTAATCTTGGCTTGCTATGATTTGAGGTTTGAGGAGTGTTTTTTACATTTACAGATGTTGCTAGCGTTCCCATATCTAATATTTAAATCCCGGTCTGGCATATGCCAAAAATAGGGCTAAAAACAAGAGAATATGTAGTTGTCTGGAGTATTATAAGCACAGCTATAGCATTTTGCTGTTATTGTCAAGTGATTTCTATAACTTAGCTCATAGAGGAATAAAAAATCTGATACTATATGAAATAGCATGAGTGTTATATATCTTAAACTTATATATTCGGGGTATACAGCTATATGTTTTGTTGTTAAGTGATATATAAATATTATCAAGCGTCAAAACGCTGAGGAGTAGCATGTGGTAGGAGTTACGTATCTACAATTAAACTAATATTTAAATCCAGGTCTGCCATATGGGGTCTATATACGAGAGAATATGTTGCTGTCTAGAGTTATATAAACACATGGAAGTTAGAGGTCATGATATATAATTGTCAAGCGATTTCTATATTTTAGTGCTAGGTTTTTAAAGTACTAAAACTCGGATAAGGTTAATAAATTTAAGCTATATTAAAGCACATCGGTTGCTATGTGTTGTTAGGGTGACACTAATTAAAGGATTAACTTTTATCAGAGATTTGCATTTTCTACTGTGTGAATAAATACGTGTAGATTAAGATATTCATTGCGCGGGCGTCGCGGGTTATCCGTGCGGGTTGGAAACACAACAATAAGAAGGCTTATATTGGAAGAGAGAAAGCAATTTAGACAAGACAAGAGCGCTTTGCAGCCAAACGTTTACACAAGAATTCAGTCTTAAAATACATTTATTTCTTCGAGACGTTTACAAAGTTAATGTGGTCTACCTCTTAGAGCATAGTGTGTTTGATTTTATTTAAATTACGCACAACAATTTAAATGTTTTTTGTAATAAGTGTCGTTTGGCTTAATTGTTCATTCGCCATGGTTCATTCGCCATGGTTTTATATGTATGTATGCATGTATATGTATGTATGTATGCATATACATGCATACATACATACATATACATGCATACATACATACATATACATGCATACATGCATACATGCATACATGCATACATGCATACATGCATACATACATACATACATACATACATACATACATACATACATACATACATACATACATACATACATACATACATACGCATGTCTGGATGGGTCGATACCTTCATGTTGTACCACATGCGCTTGGCGAGAGCACGCTTATGTGTATAAATACGGAGGTATCATGTATCTAGACGTGTACCAAGCTACACTGAAGAGGCGTGGAACGCCGAAACATGCATGTCTCCAGATTGTACTATTATACATATATATACATATATATATATATATGTATAATAACAGGCCAATAATTTTCTCCGCCGATGTAGACACCCGGATGGCTAGGATCAAAACTATTGCGCGATGACTTATACATCTCTGTGATAACATATCCTTCGGGAATGTTACGGACCACCTGTGCTTCCTTGGTGTAGTTTTGCCACTCGGCGATAGTTGCATCCGACCAGGTAATATGCCTCTGATGTTTAGGTTGTTTCTTTCTAGACTTGGTTTCGACCAGTGTGGGCTCGACACTAGTACTGTTCACTTTAGTTTGGGTGGCGAAGAGATAAACACGGCAGTCGCCAAACAGGTCCCCAAGAATTTGCTTATCTGCTGGTGTATCAGGCTTGTTATCCGACAACAAGTATCCAAACGGTTTTTCAGTCTCTTTGTAATAGGCGTTCATAAAGTGGACTCTATTCTTATCAAACATTCGTTCTCCAACAATTCCAATTTGTTTCTTATCACTAGGACTTCGGAAGAGAGCAAGATATTGAGCATTTCGGCTAATATCTGTATTGAATTTCCCCTTAGGAAACATGTTCTGAAGCAAAAGGATAACACTAGCGTTTCTATGACGTCCCTGGGTAAATAATCGAGCTACCACAGGACTGTCTGTCGCTTCGGCTATCAAATCATCCAGTATGATTATGTTGTTGTACCTGGTATTAATCTCACTCAGATCCTCGGACAGCTTGGACAAACCTCTCTGAAATCGGATGCTTTTCCCAAGGGACTTTCTCAACTCATCGTCACGATCTTGGCACTGATTGTAGCACCAATGAATGCGAATACTTCTCAGCTCCTCGTACACGATATGATTGTTTTCCAACATTTGTTGGACAAAATACGTTTTTCCACTTTGGCTCGGACCCACGACCATTAGTGAAAATTTATGGCGGAAGTTGAATTCTGGATAGGGTTTAGTGGTCAAAGATGTTGTAATTTTCGGTACGGTTTTTGTTGGTTTTAGTACAGAACTTGTTTTCTTTCGAACACATCTCATTTCTTTTAGTATATGTGCCGGTCGTATGGGCAGCAAACTTGAGTTGTGGCTATGCGGTGTTGAGAACCTCGCCTTTCCTAACCACTTTTTCTTTTGATCTCCGTATAAGTTATGTACTTGGCGCAAATGATCACTTATATATCGAAGACCAGGCTTGTTACAGGGAGGACAGTCTCTTTTGTGCTTATAGGGCATGTTGCCACTTTGAAGGTTCAATCATAAATGACCGAGAATAAATGGTTTGTAAACATTTATATTTTTTACGACGACATGTGTGTGTGATGTAGGGTGGATGTAGGGTGGATGTAGGGTGGATGTGGGGTCGTTGTGGGGTCGATGTGGGATCGATGTGGGATAGATGTGGGATCGATGTGGGGTGGATGTAGGGTCGATGCAGGGCTGGGAATATGGGAGCTGGGAGCTCTTCCAAAGTCCTAGTGATAGGAAACAAATTGGAATTGTCGGAGAACGAATGTTTGGTAAGAATAGAGTCCACTTTATGAACGCCTATTACAAAGAGACTGAAAAACCGTTTGAATACTTGTTGGTGGATAACAAGCCTGATACACCAGCAGATAAGCAAGTTCTTGGGGACCTGTTTGGCGACTACCGTGTTTATCTCTTCGCCACCTAAACTAAAGTGAACAGTACTAGTGTCGAGCCCACACAGGTCAAAACCAAGTCTAGAAGGAAACAACCTAAACATCAGAGGCATATTAGGGAGCTTTAGATCTGACTACGAGTACGAGTACGAGATTCGTCAAGCGAAACGCATGCTGTGTGCTTACGCCATTCCGTACTGATGCGAAAAAGTCGTAGCCGTCGCCCATCTGAGTACGAAATTGTGGAGAAATCTCGTAGTCCTCACGACGACTTTTCAAAAAAAAAGAAAGTTGCCTTTTTTTTGTTTTCCAAAAATAATTTGTAGCATTTATATAGCGTTTATCCGGCGCAAGTAATATATTAGTACTAAATATCTGGGCTGTTTTTAATGTTATGACTTATTTACACGTTTTCTAGGGAATTTTATAGTCTGCAGGAGATTTAGTTTATGAAACCTTTTCTCTCATTGTTGGTTTACTGCTATAAAAGCAACATTTAAATGGAAACGAAAACGACTACGGTAATTTCCTAGCACGCGATCAAACCTCGTACTCGTAGTTGTACTCGTAGTCAAATCTAATGCTCCCTATTACCTGGTCGGATGCATCTATCGCCGAGTGGCAAGACTACACGGGGGGGTCATGGGGACTTGCGGTGTTACGGAGTTGGGCTATTTTTAATGCGGTGATACGGTGACTAAGGCTCCAAAATTGCGGTGTTGCGGTGACAGAAAAAGGCGCGGTGTGCGGTAATTGTGCGTTTTACCTTACGGTGATACGGTGAGATGATATGATTTCTGTATAGTTTTGGTCAGTTTTGCGGACGTTTGTTTTAATACATCAGTGCGTGCCATATTCTGGCTTGCGTTCCATAAAGGGCCCATAAATAGCGGAGCTCTCGAGAGTTTTTATTTCTCTTACACCAAGTTTTTGTCAGTACGAAAGGTGCCCGCGATACACATGGCACATGCTTTTGTTTTGAAAGTTAAAACCAAATTTGAAAAATGAGCGGCGAGAACGCCGAGGTCGGAGTGTCTTCAGACAAAACAATCGAGTGTGTTTCATTCTATTATGAAGAGGGGAAAGGTGGTGAGAACTACCGGAAAAAGAATAAATTTAGATGTCATGTACCAAGTAAAGAAAGGAGCCTTGCGAAGCTACGAGAATTAATATCGTGAGTTTACAGATTTGCCAGCTTTTATACTTGTTAACTTTATTATTTGACTTGGCCAAACAGACCAGAATAGGCCTAGGCCGCCTAGAATTGGCCATATTAATCAGCTATATATCAGAGATAATTATGCATTAAACTATTATTTGCTGTCTTAAAAGGCTACAAGTTTACTATACAGCCTATGTATTGTATTACTTAATAAATACTAGCAGTATGACAGGTGGGTGGGGGTGGTAGGGGGTCATATGGTTTTCATCGATATATCTGATATGTTATGGGCCATTATATGCTGTGAAAGCAATCTGTGAGTTGATTTCCTGGCATTGGATTGGTACACAGTCTTTTCATCTTACTGATTTTGGTGCTGATGGGCCCTAATGACTAATGTCTTAATTATGGCTATTATGAGCATTATGGTATGTCACAAAGTTACCCAACTTGTAAAATGGCTTCAATGCAAAATTTATACTTTATAAAAAGCTGTAACTTCAAGTTAAAAACACTTTTTATACATATTATATACATAATGCATTGTCAAATGTAGCACTGTAAAAGTTCACATTCAGTGTTGCTGTGTTGGGTCATTTAAGCTTGTGTGGAAGGTGGTGATAGCTATTTATTCTGTGCCCCATTCTGGTTTGTATACTATCATGAGCTACCTTCCACTAAAATCGCCATACTCCCCCTCCCCTAGCCCCCTTAGCATCATACATGAAATAAATCTGTTGTTGGAATAAATAGTTGCTTTTACATTATACAAAATGTAAGCAGTTTCTGTATATACATGCTGGATAATAGCCACAATGATAGCCAGAAGGGTCTATTTCAATAAATTGTGGTGCCATCTAACTTTTTTTTCTTAAATGAACGTTCTGGTGTTAGGCAGACAGCAAAATCGCTTGGTTTAGGTGAAAATGTACAAGTACAGTTGAATAGGTAAGTTATGCTGAAATTAGCATTAAAGCCATTAAAATTTTCAATTGTCAGAAGTGAAAAGTATACTTATTTTCTCTATTTTTCTAAACAGAGAATCAAAACAGGATGGCAGAACGGAACGGTACACCATTGAAACCGATCATCAACTGGCATTAGAACTTCCACCTATTGTACATGGTGATGACAAACTTCAACGTGAGTGACTGCAATTTTCTCAGACATTAACCTTCTGGGGATTTAGTTGAGATTGGGATTGAGATATGGTATATTTAGCTATTTAGAAAAATTGTATATTTATAGAGAAATGTGTTACTTAATTGTGCTAAGTTTATTTATTTCTGCTTTCAGTCATAGTGTATCCCATAAAAACTGCATTTTCAAAGAGATGTCCAACTATTGTGATCAAAGATAGCTGCTCGAAGACATTGACACCAACGCCGCCAAAGCAGATGGGAATAGAGGAGCTCACTGAAGACAAAAAAAGCAGACTAAATGACGGTATAACTAACTGCTAACGTATACATACTCTTAATAAAGGACTTAGGGACAATGCTTGGCGCTGTCAGGATGGTCTGGAGTACATTGTATTACACCGTAGAAAAACATTTCATATATAACACTTTTTGTTTGTGGAAACAACACGTAAATTTATTACTGCAAAGCTTTCGATTTTTGCAGTAATAAATTTACGTGGTGTTTCCACAAACAAAAAGTGTTATATATTTTATCGCCATGCAATCATACAAAGAACTTGTTACATTTCATATGTTTTTAGAATTGGTAAAGAGGTCCGAGAGTAAGCTAAAAAGATGTGATGAGCATGCAGAAATACAAACGAGAGGGAAAAAAGGAAAGATTGTGAAGTGGCCATGGAAAATATGCTGTGGGATTTGTAAAAGGAGTATTCTTTTGAGATACGACAGTAACGTGAAGGGGCGAATTTCGTTTTTTGACCGACGTAAGTTCATATATAGGAAAAATAGACTATATATAATACTACTAATAATAACAATAAATAAATATATAAAAACCGAAAGAAATTGGGTTACACCACCAGCGATACCTTACAAGCCTTTGCCAGCTAATCATAACAATACCGAAATATTAAAATATCACTTTACGACTTTAATAACTACAAAATGTAACGACTGTCTTGACGTTTCTGTGCAGATCATTACACAAAGTGCAGTAGTAAAAGCCATAAAGCAACAAAGAAAACTGGGAGTAACAAAAAGATAACAGACATGTTGGGGGTGAAACGAAAGTCACAGAATGAGGACGAACTCGCAGCAAGGAAATCGAGGGTGCCAAGGGAAGAAGACATTGATTCAGACCTTGACCTATCTGACTGTAAAAAGTAAATAACGTTTTTCGACTTTATAAATAGACATAATTGTTGTATTATACTTAGTTCACATTTGAAAACTTGCAGAGGAACATATCGATCAAAGTTATATGTAGTAAGTTTTTAAGGAGAAATAAATTTTAGTAGTTCTATTTGGATAGATTCTGTATCTTTTTAGAAATTTCAAAAAAAATTCTTAAACTCGTGCCCCTCAGTGGCATAGACACATTCTTGCATGATATCATGTCCTATCTATCCTATATATATAAATATATACTGGCTTATAGGCCCTTATAGGGGCCCTTATACTTTTATTATTACTATACTATAGAATGTATTACTCCAGCGGAGCTGAAAACCACTTTTCCAACGATGCTGAAGCCAATGACAGCTCGACGGATGATGAGAATCTTGATAGCTCAGACCAAGAAAATACGGTTGAGGCCTGTTCGTGTAGCCCAGGTGAAGAGGAAGTGGTATCGGATGACGGCATAGATGCAGATGACCTGTTCACAGTGTACGTTGGAATTGAAGAAGCTGACCCGGTATGCATTAAAATCCAAGATCTTCTTCGGAGAGGAAAGATATCGAAAGATAGAATTTTCTACAAGTACCTAAATGATGTGCTGGAGGTCATGTACAATCCCTTTCATCCTTATGATGAAGAGGTTGTAGAGTTTTTTAATACTATCACTTACCTGGGTGGTCGACGCACAACATGTTTTATCAGAGGGCCAATGAACTTGGGCGATGGCCGAAATAGCCATGTAAATTTGTCAGAAAAGAAGATGAATCTTGGAGGCCCATCAGAATCTGTATGTGCAAAATACCAAACAGGGTATACGCCGGAGTCAGGAGTAATTAAACCGTTATCTTTAGGCCATATGACACTGTTAAAGAACTCTCAAGCTAAACCTTTGATACAAACGCCTAACCTAACCGTGATTCCATGTGCCTTTGGTAATGATGGGACGGCTTTAAAACCAGCCATTGAGTTTGATTCAAGATTAAAAGAGAACATTGGTCTAACAACCCCTGTTGATCTTCGTTACGTGCAAAAAAACCCGTCCCCGTCACCCGATTTTCTTAAGGAAAATATTGTGACAGAAGCACTCGTTTCCTCTCTGACATTACTGGATAACTTTTGTTCTCTTCCTGTGGCAGTCGATTACACCCCACAAGCTGGTAAAACGGGTCCGCATATGGCAGAACTTTTCCAGGAACACATCAAGACTCTACAAGCATGCGAGTCCTGCCAGAAAAAGACGCCTAGTAGACGTCATATTACCTCCTCACACGAATCCATGTGTAGCAGCTTCTGTGAAGAATGCTACGAGTCAGAAAATGTCTGTGACAAATGCAAATCATTAGGACAGGTCAGTCACATGCCCTCCTTGCGTTTCTGCGATTATTGTCAAGGTAGAAATACAGTCTGTTTTCAACGAGTTGTTCTGGTAGTATGCAGTGACTGTGAAAGTGGAAACAAAAGCGCTTTCGAAACGCTTCAAGAGAAATTAGAATCAGGCACGATAGACCCTGAATTAGCTGTTTTGTCTATTCTACCTGATTGCCCGCATGTTGGTAAAAGTATTAAAGCAGCCTTTGCCAACTGGTGGCTCAAATGCAAGAGCGAACGTGTCAACTTGGCATTGATAAGAACATTGCGAAATCGTTCAAATCAAGAAACGAAGAACATCTTCCGAAAGCTTATCCCCAAGAACGATCACGTTAAGAACAAAGATGGACAAGATCCATCCTCAGTCCTTACCCTAAGCAGCACAAAACTGACAGATGAGCTGAAAGTTTGTGGATATGTCTGTCATACAATTATTCCAGAGCTCGATAAGTACTCCCCAGAGAACCAACGGGGAATGTATCCATCGCCGATCAGCGTTGCCATCCCATCTTTTGGATGGATAGCTTTTTTATCCTTTGACTCCAAGACTTCCTTGTCAACGCTATACAAGGCCCGATTGCATAGTCTTGTCGACAACATCAAAGCAATTGGAAGGAATCTGACAGCTAGAGCTATTCACTGTGGTGATGGAATCATCTTTCTTAGTTCGGAGAGTGGGCCTATTAAAGTAATTCAATTTACAGAGGGAGCAATCGATATTTTGTCTAAAGCGAAGAGAAAAGGTGATTTGATTAAAGTTGCCCGTCAACTGAAGCTGTCAACAGAGGGGACTGTTCAAGAACTAAAGAACAGGTTGCAACGTTATCGTACTTCACTTAAAGCCAAGTACGAACAGAAGAACATTCAGCTTGATGAAGTTCATTTCTGGAATTCTCAGGCACAACCATCCTTTGAATCTATGTTCTGCCTTGACGAAGATGTGATTTATGCTGCAAGAAATGACACCAAAGTGATTGCTTCTTTTCAAGTAGAAAAAGATGGCGTTGGTCTACGAGGCTTAAACTTGCAAGAATTCATAAAGTACGGCAATTTATGGAGAAAGATTTACAGCATGTGTCTGTGTGAGGGAAATATCTTCTTGTCGCATTGCGAGGGTATAAGCAAAGTGTCCCTGGAAAGTGCTGAATCAACCAACATATTGCAAATGACTAACCATCCCTGTTTCCTGACTGCTCTTGGATCAGAAGTCTTGTTCACTAATCAAATGAAGTCATCTGTGTGGAAGATCACGACATGCGGAGAAGCACAGATTTTTGCTGGTGTCGAAAATGAAGAGGGAAGCGTCGATGGAAAGGTAAAGAATTGTCGGTTTCGGCAACCGATCGGAATTTGCACAGAGTCGGAAAACGTTATCTACATCACTGATGCGCAAACAAATTCCATCAAGATCTGCACAACAGTAATTGAGTGCGCCAATTTTCTAGTATCCATTGGCAAGCTTTACGAGGCTTTCTCGGTCCATAGTACAGGCAAAGGTTACACCATTAAATCAGCCGACGAAGCTCTCTCGTTAGTCCGCGATTGTAAAGAGCTGCTAGACAGTAATTCAGAAGACATCCGAATGAGTACTGGTATTACACGCACTTTGAATGGACCACAGGGCCATGTTTCTGCGAAGACGGTAGCTTCAGTTGGAATGATTGAATGGGGGCTGAAGAGATTATACAATAATATGAAACCATTTGATTATTCTGCAATGAATTTCTTAAGCTGTATGACTCTGGACATCGAGAATTGTCACTCCACGGTTCACACCAAGCAGGCAAACATGTCTAAGATGGAATATAGTAGGTCTTTTGGATTGGCAATGAAAGAAGCTGTAAAACGGGTGACACTATGGGCGGCATATTATCACACGAGTCGAAAATCTTGGTATCCAAAGCCAGAGGAAACACTTAAATATTCAGAATTGCCAACAATAACACCCTTACCTGTTGTTGAAATGTCAAGAGCAAGTTGTGACGTGCTTCGGGATTGGGCTTCAGCATACGGAGCAGCAGTTCGACAGAGAACAGTACGGCAAGAGACAACTATGGCAAAGCATGGCACTCTACCAGAGTTCATGTATCAACGTCATTGTGTCGTCTCGGAACCAGTTATTATATTTTTACGAGAGCCTGGGCAAGCCACCGAGGCAAATAGAGACAATAGTGAATCTGACAACGATGAAATACCAGTGGAGGAAGATGAATTTTTAGATGAGTTTGACGAAAGCAGTGACGAGGAGGAAAGACCAGAAGGAACTGACAATGCCAACAATTTAATCAATTTACAAGGAGAAATCGGAAGTTCGGCAACCTTCCTGATAGGAGCTACGTCACGATTTGGAAGAGCTATCAGGTTTAACAATCGCCTTCTTTCGTGATGATTTTCGTGATAAGCTGACCTCTGTGCATCATGTGTTAGGCTTTAGATCATGGGCAGTGGCTAGACATTGCTTTGAGCCTGTCTAGAATGGAGAAGTAAGGCGACTCCTTCCCTCCACTGGCCTGGTTGTTCACCTTGGGCAAGTGATAGCACACCCCTGCCTCCCTCAGCCAGGGATACGGTCTTGGTCAGTGCACCCGGCGAATCTGTTTCGTCAATCCGGCAACTGGCAGCAAAGGTTTCCGCGAACATTACTCACATGCATGAAGGAATTGGAATTGCTCACCAACAAATATCTCCAGTTTGCCGTTTGGTAGCCATATGGCCAGGTAACTCCAGTAGCCTAATGTCAAATAGCCCTTGTATATAGTAATAACGATGACCTAACTCACAATCTATAATCTAATAGCAGAAATTAAAAAACCTTATGGGCATTAAGCCCTTATGGAACGTGCCAATGGCATGTTTTTAATCGTATTTCTTTCATGCGGTGTTTACGAATTTTTTTAGCGGTGATGCGGTGTCCCCGAACGCATTTGTACGGTGTTGCGGACCCCCCAATGATCCCCCCCAGTTAATATGAACAAACTTCTTAGTATGATACTATCTTACATGTATATTTGGCATTCAAAGGGAGTCAGAAAAGTATAGAAAACCTAATCTTCTCACTGTTGATGTCATTGAACTAAGTCTATAAAGTAATACTTAAAATTATTTCGAATGTTCACAAACCCAAAAAGGACGAAGAATCTGCAGAAACCACGGTGCTCAACCTCTCTTGAACACTTTTTGGAAATGTTGAAAAGATGCTGGATTTGAACGTACAACATACACTCGATCTGAAAAATTCAAGGCTCACTTCTCTGATATCCCACCAGTTATAGTTCCAGCAATGAAAGGTTGTAAATAGTGAAGCAGAAAAAAAGTAGTTTGCTTAAACAACACGGAAAACCAAATGAATGTGAGTTTTTCCCTATATTTCAAACTCTTATACCATTGTATTAACTCATTAAGTCGCAGACTGTTGCAACATTGGCACTCCCCAAGTTGCAAGGAAAATGGTGAATTTTAGTTACTGTCAACTTCTGTCAACTGCTTTTACAAAAATACCCATATCTCAAGATCATTTTGCAGTGGGTTAAACAGGGGTGGAAAATATTTTTTTCTTTCTGGGAACCTGGGTCAAAGGCTAGAAATTTTCTGTAAAATTTGTAATGTTACAATTACAAAAATAACAAAACAAATGCATAATTATTGTATTATTTGTACTTTAGTAATAATGGGCTTTAGGCTGGTTTTCGTATGCTTGTACATCACAACAGTTGTCTGTTACATACCACAGTTATGAGTTATGACCAACTAGTAAGGATCTTGATTTTTTCTGTGTTGGTGTTATGTAATAAGGTGAATATGATGTTTGTGATGTTACTCTGAGTGTATATCCACACCAGGCAAACTTGAAAAATATACCTGGCCATGGTGGGAATCAAACTTATACGACCTTTGGAATACTAGATTACATTGATGTCGAAGGAACCGACCTGACCGCGTAGCTCAGCTGGCAGAGCATTGGGCTAGTATTCCAAAGGTCGTAGGTTCGATCCGCACCGTTTAAAAGCTGCTGATGTTAGCGTGTACAGTGTAAATAAAGTAGAATAGTTGTAACTTGTAAGTTGAGTAAACAGGGTTATCTCAAAATGTAGAAATATTTTCTGGAAAATTTTCTGCAAAACTCTCAACTCGAAAAAATTTCTGGGAACTAGGTTCCCAGGTTCCGATACTTTTTCCACCCCTGGCCGGTTAAAATGATAAATGATTAATCAATTCTATTTTAAATGAGCTCCCACACTTAAATATATCAATAGATTTTTAGGTGAGAATTCTTGGTTTGTGTTAATTTAAGTCTCTGACATTTTGCTTCTTCATGACACCCAACATCTGAAGGGCAATAATTCAATAACCCAACATAAATGGAGAAATATTTTTTGATTCCTGGATTGGTACACATTTATTTTCAAATTAGTTTTCATCTTGTAGGGTATAAATTACAAAATAATGAAACACTATAAAAATTTGCTTGGGCATAGCTCAGGCACACTCAAGACATCTAGTTTACAATGGAGAACTTGAACTTCAGAACTTGTTGTTCAAGTCCAAAAACTCTGTAACCCAAAAATACAGTGTTTGTACCTCTTTGAAGTTTTTAAATAGCTCAAATATGTTTGGAAAAACACGAAGTACAAAAATTACTAATTAAAATAAAACAAAGGATGAAAAAGGTGAGAAAATTTTAAAATATTTGAGGTGTTTTCAATTCTGACTTTGACAGCCGGCATTTTCAAACGCAGCGTGCGGTGACAAAACAAAAGGCTTTTTATTTTGCTATTAAGAGCACTGAAAGTCGTCAAAAAGAGATAAACACTTTTGAATATTCATCAGGTAAGAATTTTAACTGAAATTCCTTTTGTTTCTGTTGAGAAAACAACAGATTTGTGGCTAAAACATCGTGCGCGCCAATGTAGGTTGCTGTAAAATGTCAGACAGGTGGTTTCTTTTGAAATCTGACTCTAGTTTGAAATCTGACTCTAGCTTGAAATAAGTCCTTTTCAAGGACCAATTGTATAAAATATATAATATGTATGCTCAAATAAAATGAATAATCTAATATTTAGGCATTTCAGATCGCTATAAAAGAGTGAAATAAAGTATTTCATCTTTGGTTGTTTGTCAGACGAGAGTAAACACATTGGTGACACTTTGTTGCGCATGCAGTTTTCAAAAGATAAACTGCTAAAAATATAGCTTTTATTTCACCAAATAGCAAAGTATCTTGCAGATATTATTAAAAGAGCTCAAGCGAAGTAAATCCATGATAAATAAGTGAACAATGAAACCAAAAAAGCGACTAAATTACAATTTTGGAAAGTACATAAATTTAATGGCTTCCCGCAAAAGAAGAACGAGGAGAACGGCATTTTGTAAACTGCTCTCCTGACCTATTTTAAACTTTTCCTTCAGGTAATCGATGAGTACTTCTTAGAAAATGAGTGTACATTAGTTTTATGATGTGCTGTATTGATTTAAAAATTTTATGGGGATATATGAAGCGATAAAGTGTATTTTAGAAGCTTTTCAAATCCCTGTCATGAAGGTTCAGAATTCGCACGCACCAAGTAACGGCATAATTCAATACACTGATTTTAAACCACATTATCTCTGAAATGAGAGCTCGTTTCGAGACAATGTTTGTAGAAACAGATATAGTATTCATTGTAGAGTATTCTACTTAGTTTTAATGCGGTTTTACTCCGTATTAATCACTCCATGACCATGTTTATCTTTTATTAAGTCATCTGCCTGTCACTACTGACGTACTGTACATCATTTAGTCTGGGTTTGTTGGTACATGTATATACACATACATGCAGTAGCTTGGTTTTAGTCACATGATAGTTTAGCGCTTGGTGGTCAACTTGAAAAGGAAACACAGTCAAAAAAATATTTTGATTTTAGGTCTGTATGAATTCCAATTTGGATGTGTAACTAGACTTCATTGCAATGTGCTTATATGTCTGCTTCTTAATTTGTTGACTAAATATGCACGGAAATGCTATTTTAAAAGTGTTGTGTATTTTTCGTTCATTGACGCAGGTGACCCAGCTCTTTTGCATCACAATATATGTAACAAGAGTATTGACATGGGCAAGATTAAAAAGTTGGACATCAATTCATTGAGAGAGTTATGCCAGTTGTGTGGAATAAGTACATCTAACAAATCTAAGGCAAGTCACTAAACATTAATCACTTTTATTAATGATGTGCATGCGGCCTAATGCACCTTGCCTAAATTGAGCCCTAAAAAATAAAGTTTAAAAGGTGAGCTTTCATCCTCACTATGCATGTCTATCAAGCAATAACATATACTGTACTACTAGCAAAAAATGAAAGAAATAAAGTACATGTGAAACTGTCAATTACAACATGTACATTAAATTTCATACATTAACCCATTGAGTCGCATTGCAACCTGATGATGCGCCCTACTTTACTATTTTACTCTGTATAATGCCAGAATACTTTACTCTGTCTTACACCAGACGATATCACTTGTTAAGGGAAGAGTACTGGTACTTATTAGGTTAACTGGCCCCATGTGTCTAGTTAACCTGTTGAGTCGCATTGCGCCCTGATGTGCCCTTTGCTCTGTCTAACACCAGATTATTTTACTCTGTCAAGGGAAGAGTGCTGGCACTTAATGGGTTAATTAATTAATTTTAAAATTGTCTATGTTTTTACTTATTTTAGGTTAAAATGCAATCTCGTACCCAGAGCCATCGTTGAGTGGCTCTGGCCACACGGGATTGAAAAACGATCCTGATTGGTCGATCCATAAGCTATTGGACCCATACCCCCTGTGGCGTTCACGAGCGCGGCCAATATGAGTGAATACGATATATTTGCTAATAGTTTGCCTGAACATTTGCTTATTTCGATGAATTTTTTGTTGCTTTTTGTCCGAAAAAGTGGTGAAGGGATTAAGGAGTTGATTTATGCATACATGAATTCATTTGGGCAAAATAACAGGCTTCGTTATGGTAATAATTCATACTCTTGGTTCACTCTGAGTGAGTATTGATGGGAATGATGGCATATGTCCTTGATCTACTATATTGGAGTGTTATTATTGGAAAGAAATTCAAGCATACAACACTTACAAGCGTACACGTATGCTAGGACTGTGTTTATACAAGATTTGGGATTTTTTAATTGAAATGTAAATGTACGAATCATCATCGTGTGAATGTATAAACAATTAAACAGCTGAAACAGCATTTGGATTCTTTTGCAAATTGCTTGATGGAATTGTTTGATGATATATTGTTTCTGTTGACAGTATTGCCTGTACAACTCTGTCAGAAACATTGGTGTTAGTAGCCAAAAAAGGTTTCATTAAAGCCAGGCCATGTAAAGTATGTAATGTAAACAAACCCTTTGTTT